GAAATTGTAATAAAATTGTTTAAATATTTAAAGAAATGCTGGTCATATTTCAGTAATTCTGATGATTTCGGAGCAATGCCCCGTGTGTAGAGTAATCATTACTATAGTTTCAGAATTATAACGCAAAAGTGTACTCCAGGGCACTGAACCGATTCTTTCCTGCCGGTTTTTCTGGCGCTTATACGTTTCCCGCCGGTGCTTTCTGTATATCTAAAAAGATGCATTTATACCGAAGAAGGTGTGTCCGAAAGCGCACCACTGAATGCCAGGGAAGAAGATGAGGTAACGTTTGTAATAAAACTGGGCGGAGGCCTCATTGAGAAAGGCCATTGTTAACGAAATATTTCCATTTGTTCGTTTCATGCGGGGCGGCTTGGTGGTGCAGAGGTTAGCACTGTTGCCTCACACCTTTGGGACCAGCATTCCGTGTGTGTGGAGTCTGCATGTTCTCCATGTCAATGTGGGGTTTCCTCCAGATACTCCCATTTCCCCCGCAGACCAAAAACATGCAGAGGCTAAATGGATTTACCAAATTACCCAAAGGTGTGAGTGGTGTGTGTGTGACTGTGCCCTGTGATAAGTTGGTGCCCCATCCTGGGTTGTTCCCTGCCTTGTGCCCATAGGCTCCGGACCTCCCATGACCCTAAACAGGACAAGCAGTTACAGAAAATGGGTCGATGTTTCATGCAGGAAGCAGTTCAATGGGCTGCTTCCTACCTGCAGGGTCATAGGTTCAAATCCCACCCCTACTGTGTGAGTGAAGTTTGTACCTGCTCTCCTTATATAATGTGGACTTTAGTGAGGTACTTTGTATTCCACCCATGGGGGTGGTTTGTGGTTCTGGTTCAGTGGGTTAGGCCACTGCTCATGTAATCAAAAGGTCACCAGTTCAAATCCCAGTACCAGCAGCGTGATTTCACTATTTGGCCCTTGAGCATGGCCCCTAGACCCCAATTACTCCAGAGACTTTTTTCTTTTGATAAAAGCATCCACTAAACAGGTTTAACACAAAGTGTTAGGTTAACTGGTACCTTTAAATTACTAATGGCATGTGTGTGCCCTGAGAGAGAGAGAGAGAGAGAGAGAGAGAGAGGTCAGAGAAGGATGGCCAGACTCGTTAATGTTAACAGGAACGACACCAGTGAAAAGATAACAGGTCAGTACAGCAGTGTGCAGAAAGGCTTCTCTCAACTCATCCTTATAGTGGTTCTGGAGGCAAATGTGAGCTCGATTTGATACTAGCGTGATGCTCCAAGGTAACAGCTTCATTAAACTGGGTTTGATTTTGATTTTTGTTTATTTGGGTGGACCGGTACCTCGGCAAGTAGCTCTGAATTGATAACCCACATGTGAACATCACTTTACCAAGTGTTCACCTTCAGTGCAAAAACCACGCAGTTAAGGCAAATTAATTCATCATATGAAGTAGTTTTACATTTCAAGGTTACCGATGGAAAAGGTGTTTTGGGAATTTAGAGTGATTTGCTAATTATACTCGCTGGTGTTTTAAAAAGGGTAGTAAAAATAGTACATCAGTATAAAAGCAAATTACATTTCTTTCAAGGACGATGCCAATTTAACACAGATACATTATGAGCACCGGATCATAGCAGGACAAACAAGGACGTTCACGAATTTCCCTTTGCATAGACGAGTCACAAAGATGAGTGACTGGTAATATTTCACGGACAGTAAAATATTCTTTTAAAATCCAAACTACATTTTGTCAGTCTTTCAGTCTTTTATGTGTCCATTTACCTTTTCACTGAATTTCATCCTTCTATCTTCTAAAAACCTTAAAAATCAATACTTGGCTGTTCAGTGACATCACTGTCCACCCTGAATGACGTAAATGGATTATCATCTGGAGCAGGAACGTCTCTGTATTTCTGCCACCGAATGTGTCCCCCCCCCCCCCCCCCCCCCCCTCCCCCAGACACCAATACGGCATGTTTATAGAGGGGACACCGGGCCAGAAACTGTGAGGCTGATGTGGAGACAGGAGTCCCGATATAGAGAAAACTGGACATCAGGAATCTCCCAGCAGATGCTAAATGGACTCCATTACTTGCCCCGGTTTCCCATTCTTTGAGATTTACTCAGTCACACTTAGCTTTGCCTTGCTGAACAATAACAGATGAGTAGAGTGAGCAAAGGCTGAGAGGAAAGGGTGTGTACACAGGCACCATGTCCAACAAGCTGCCACATATCAAAGACCGAAGTGACCCCTGATGTCTGACGGTGTGATCCTCCTAGGGCAACTTTAAGGTCTTTGATGGGGAGGGTGTAAGTCTTTCTTATTGACCCCGAGGCACAGAAAGGGTCGAAATCTCATTGGCGATTGCTACTGTTGACCTCTGACCTTTCTAATCACGCTGAAGTTTATCAGAAAACCTGCGTCACACATAAAAACAATGTGAATTTGGCAGCCAGTTGAAGTTTTAATTAGCAGAATACTCGTAAAACGTCATAAAATAGAGGAAGTCTTCTTGTTTGTTTTAGCTGAGTTGACTAATCATTTGGTAAACTGGTGTTCATTACAGGTTTGCGCCTTTTGGATAGAAATTGCTAGTTAAGGCTAATTAATACTTTTGTGTAGAATCTATGCCCTTGGTATGGCGTAGCTGCACGCTGTAGCCTGACAAGTAGTTACACCTCTGAGGAAGTGTGCATTAGGCGATGACAGACTAGGGCATTGAGTTTGCATCTGTGTGACTACCGATGGTGTAAATATCCACCTTTATTTGAAACCATTTAGTTTCGTTAGGTTACAGTGCCCTCTGGTGGTTTCTTGGAGCATATTTTAACGGGAATATGGTACAAATAAATATGCTATTTTTGTATTAACACATATTATGTTGAGTTTATTTTTCTTGCATCTTTGCGTGAAGGAAAAAAGAGATTGCAAGTGAAAATGGAAACCGTACCACTTGCCCAAGTATTACTCAGCAACACTGACCACAACCGTAACCCGTGCAGCGGAAATGTTACGGAGACAGCCTGGGCGTCCAAAAACCGCGATCCACTGAAAGCTTTGCCAGAGAGTTTATTTGCTCAAAATTAAACCAATGATATGATATTGCTGCTCAATTAGATTAATTCTGGATTTTTAGCTCAGATTCAATCCATCAGAGAGCAGGATTCCTGTGGGAACACTTTGGTATTAGGTTTCATTGTGTTCCAGACATTGTCTTACACTGGGTGGAATGAAATTAAATGGTGAATAATAACACTTATCCCCAGCTGGAAGAATGTAAGGGGAGGGACATCATTGCGCCGAAGTTCAGTAGGACACAGATTAAAGCTCAGGGAAGTCTTGGTCTAGAAATTCAAACCTCTTAGCATAGAGGGTGACGAAACACGTAGGGTGTTCTCTCATCTTAGAGCAGGACGGCAAACCAGAATCCAAACCAAGAGCAAGACTCGAGGAGAACTACCCTACCCAGCTCAAACAATCCACTCGTTGGGACAAAACGGTGATGATGTAATCATGATTATCCTTCCGCGCCGTTCAGGGCTGGCGGCTTCCAGCTGTCGTCATAGGCTGGGGCAGCATGGAGGCTTAGAGAGTACGACTGTTGCCTCACGCTGCACCTCTGTCAGTGTGTTTTGCATGTTCTCCCCATGCTACAATACAAAACATAGTGTGTGGCACTTCAAGGCTGCAACGCTACACCTGAGATCAGAGTCTCGCAGGTTCCATTCCACTAGATGGCAGAGTGATCCCACTATTGGGTCCTTGAGCAAGGCCCTTAACCCCAATTACTCCAGGGATTGGCTGCCTCTGAGCCACACTCGTACATTACTTCGAACAACAGTGTCTGCTAACTAAATAAGGCAAATAGTCAAAGTCATGCAGGCTTATAGGCGTCTGCAAATCGACTGCGGAATGTGTCCTGTGAGGGACTGGCATACCATCAAGAATGGACCTCAGTCTAGTGCCTCAATGCTGCAGAGCATGTGCTGCAGCGATTTTGTCAAAGCAGGAGCTGAAGGTCACCAGGGCTTGAGCTGCAGGAGATTTGATCTGCGACGACCCAATCAGGAGACCCGACACTCGGGGGATTATATATGCGCGTCACCAGCTTTGGCCAAACACAGCCGCGGTGCCAGTTACCAGGGGGAAAACATGATCATATCATACAGCACTACACCAGACTGCTGTCAGATAAAATCTAGGAAAGTAATCAACTTCTTAGACACCCTTCCATGTTATTAAATGATGTGTATCGTGGTGTTGTAGTGTACCTGACCCTCCATGTGGTGGCGTTTGCCAGAAGAGGGGCAGAAACAGAAATGCTTTTATATTGGCATAAAACACACCGACCATCAGGATGTGGTTGTCAGGTGACGGATATCCATGGAACGTTCCATCTTGAGGGAAGCCAGTCCCAAGACAACCTTCTGGGGTCTCTGCTAGTGTGTCTCAGCGTAGGATGTGGCGACCAAATCAGTCCCTTCACATTACTTCAAAAACGCTTGAATAAACCTGATGAACATCATCGTTCAGCACGTACCTCCAAACGTTCCAGGAAGATGGCTCCACTGATCAGACACGGAGACCTTCTCTGAGCACCAGGCAGCAGCGTCAGCAAGCCAGTGGCATCGTCCTGCCTTCCAGGGATGAGGTCTCCTGGGCATTGCACTAGGAGGTTCAAGACCTCACTTGTACTTGTACCGGCTGGGAAGGAGCAAAAACCTGTATCGTCTAGGGGTTCCCGAGGACTGGGCTGGGAAACACTGACATAAGGGATGCTGTTCCCAGTCAGCTTTCACCTTACCTGCAACACACCCAGAGGGCATTATAGCAAAAAGAAATGAGCAAGGGAACGGTGTCCCAGGACGGACAAAAAGCCATAGGTATTAAACACACAACACCATGAGCAGGCAGAATTCAGCCATTTTGGAAATCCCAAGCAGATCTGGTCTGATTAACTGAATGACTAAAATTCAATGCATAACACTTTTTCCCCCTTTGCTTTATACAATAGATGATCAGATTTCTATAACAATTAAACACTGTTTAATAGGAAAGCAAAGGAACATTATCCTTATTGGACACTGACAATTAACAGCACTGGAGAATGAACAACCATCTTGATGATACAAGCACACTTCACACAGTGTTATTACAACAATTATACTGCAAAGAGAATCCTTCCACTCCATTATCTTCAGAAAACAGCCAGAACCCAATAAGTTAATGCAAAAAAGACATTTTAACAACACAGGTCTGGACTGGCAGCCCTAGAATTAGACAGTGAATCCTTCGCCAGCCTTTACAGTAGACACACACCTGACCAGCATCATGAACCTCCTGCAAGGTTGCATAGCTCAGTGAAATAATCTGGAACTCTGCCACGTTCCTTGGACCGCTGCAGACTGGAACCAGTGAAGAACCAAAATCGAGATCGTAAAGAATCCTGGCCTTTGAACACCTTTTTGTGTCCTTTTGTTGTTCATCTCTACTTGGTATCGCGTGAACCCACAAAATTACGCTCAGGAAAAAAAAAAAAAAGATGCAGACAGTCCCACATGGTCGCAACGGACAGACTGGCAGCATGAGTCGTGACAGGAGGAACATCTGAGATGCAAGCTATGGCGTTATCGGGGCTCTCGGAACCCACGGAAAATTTCCAACCGCTCAAAGCTCACAAAGAGGCTGGGTCAGAAGCAGGGTCATGGGGGTGTCCATGTAAATAGCCGTTGCCATGACAACAGTAGGAACGGAACCATGCAGAAATCGAATGCATTGTACGAGGGCAGAAAAACCACTGTGGAGATGGGCAACTAGGGTAACGTTCAAAATCAACAAGAACAAGTTTTGATGCTTCGCCAGGGCAAAACCGAAGAATTAAAGAAATAAACCAAAAGTGGAGCATTATGGACTTTGGCAGTCAAAGTGTTGCATGTAAACGTGTAACTTTCCATGCCGGCTTCTGTAAACCACTCGTACTGTAAACGTAGGATGCTGAAAGCTATCCTGGCAACTCGTGGATGATAAACCACACTGCGAGAAAGTTCACTGGTGTTTTGCGATGGCAGAGGTGGAGTGCACAATTTACACAATATTCTAGTATCAATGTCACAATACATATTATATCCAACAATCTTTTATGATGTTTTATGAGCAGTGATCATTTCTGAAAGCATTAAAACTACAATGCACTGAATCCATACAAGATGGATCTCTCCCTATACTATTAAAGATCACTTCTCAAGGTATCTCAATTTTCTGACAGACTTTTTTTTTTTTTTTGCATGTGTTCCAACTCTGCTCAAGAAAAAATATATATAAATTATTCATTTTCAGGTGCGGGACTATGGAGTTTCTCAACCAAACTTCTAAACTCAAGACAACTTCAAGAACTGTCATTGTCCACCCAGAAGAATGGTCTTTACAGTGAGGTTGTGGATAATTAAGGGGGGGATACAAGAGATATATATACAAATTTAACTCAACCAACAGTAAGAGCAACTACAGATCCAGGGAAGGCTGTAGGAGATCAAATCCACCAAGGCAGATCTGGTCTTGACCAGACCTGACAGCAGCTGATAAGAGACAACTGACTCACCTCAACACATCTCAAGTGAGTTTGTATAATAGCATTAAAAATACGTATATACTATTTGATATCATTTGCATGACGCAAACATACTTGTCAATTCTGAAGATGCTGTCAAGATTGGATTTCATCATACAAACACAAGCATAGGATAAAAGCGGGAGTTCAGACACGAGTAGATGTTGTTATAATCAAGCTGCTTCTTTTCTACTTGGTTAGCAAATCGGTGAGCTGGGAAGATCCAGAGAGCCAACGCAGGGAAGGAGAGAGGGGATGCAAACACATATCGGGATCCGTCGAAGGACAGAGAGATAGAGGATAGAAGCAGTAACTTGTCCTTCCAACCTTCTAGAAATCTTTGATGAGAAATCTCACAGTCCACCCCCGGCTGCCAAAAACAAGGCCTTGTGGTCTATCGGTACACCAGATGAGACACAGAGCCGGACTTGTAGTTGAGCTGATGGTTGGGTACAAAGTTATGGTGCAAGTTCTTGCGGCTACATATGTCATTGGCATAGAGGCTCATGCAAGTGTCGCAAGAGACCTTGGAGCAATTCATACAGGTGTGTGACGCGCCCGGTTTGTTGCAGAAGCCGCACCGAGAAACACCAACGACTGACACGCTGCTGCCAGAGCCAACAGACTTGCTGGGGTACAGCTTGCTCAGCGGCTTCTCTGACAGCTGGGTGTGGGCGTTACTGTAAGCGGACGACTTCTCCTTTGCTGGCAGGTAGCTGTCAAGGGGATGAGATGCCTTGGGGTAATCAGGCATGCCGCAGCAAGGGGAGGGATCCACCGCATGGCAAGCAGGACACAGGATCATGTCGCACTTCTGGCAGGAGGTGAGGCTGGAGCAGCCCACACCGCAGCCCTGGCACGTGACGCAGAGAGGCGCCCCGCCGTGGGTCTTCACCGACCAGCTCTCGCGGAGGTCACGGCTGGGTGGGCGGGACGGTGTCTGTCGGCCGACACCACGCTCGGTGTACAGGTCAACCTCGTCGAGGGAGGAGAGAGGGTAGGCGTAAGGGTCCGTCGGCGGGGACTGAACGGGAAAGAAGTCCGACACGGGGCTATAAGCAGCCGTCATGGAGAGAAGGGAAGCATTGGGCCGGATGATCTCGTCCTGCAGGTCCTCCTCGGCATCCACGAAGAGTGGCTCCTTGCGCAAGCTCAGCGTAGCCTTCAGCACGGGCTTGCTGGCTTGGTGCCAATGACCCGCCCCATCCGTCACATCCACAGATTTGGACGGCCGTCCAGCCCGCCTGGGGTGCACGCGCTCCAGCTCATCCTGCCGTACCGAGAGCCGCGACACATCACCGGCCAGGGCATCGCGGAGCCTCAGGGCCTCGGCACACGCGGCCGCATCCTCCCAGCTCCCTCGGCGCGCCTCCAGTGCCTCCAGCTCCGTCGTGGCGCCCCCAGCCAGCACCGCCACCTCGCCCAGGAGCCGGCACTCTGCCTGGGCCAAGAAGAGCTCAAAGGCCAGCTGCCGCAGGTGCACAGCATTCCCCGGGACGTCGCGGATTTGGAATTGAAGCTCCTCGCGGGAGTATCCCATAGAACGCAGAAGGGAGCGCAGGTCCGAGTCACACACCGCCGACTGCAGGTGATACACGTATGGTCCAGTGAAGGTCTGCAAAGCAGCACAGAAATGCTGTCAAGCCTCTAAAGCAAAAAGGGGGGCAATTATAAGCAGTCTTTGAACCCATTCTGAGTAATTCGGGTTCTACAAAGACAAAGAGGACAAAAAGCAGAACGCAACCTGAAAGGAAACTCAGAACATCACACTCATGCACACAGAGCTAATGCAAGGCAATATGGAGTCCCTAATTCAACTGGAGGACACATCTGTAGCAAGTACAGGAGGACATCCACACAGACAGGAGAACAGAAATTTCTACACACACCCAGAGCTGGTAGGTTGTGACCAAACCACCCCCAACAACACAGCCTCTAGACACCTTTTTAATGAAATTAGGGAGATCTGGGAACAAATAGATGGAGGACAAAGAGCCTCAGAGCCCCCTACCTTGATGCATCGAAACTCCTTCTTCCAGGGAAACAGCAACAGGTTGGTGCAGATGGTCTCCAGGATGGAGAAGGCCGTCTCCAGTGCATGGAGACTGGCAGCCCTCAGGGTGAGCAGGGAATTCTCCACCAGCTCGTAAAAGCGGAAGAGACGAAACCGCTGACCCGGGTCAGCCTGATGGGCCCCGAGCCAGGCGGCAGCTGCAGACAGCAGCATCCCGTCCGTGGTGGGCCCCTGTCTGCCCGCATCATCCTCCTCTTCCAGCCGACGTTCCAGTGACTGGGCATACTTCTTGAACAGGTCCTCTCGCAGCTTGACATCCATCAGCGGCAGCAGGCGGCACTAGAGGCGCCACACACATCCCCACCAACGAAGGTCACGCCTACCAGGGCATCGCAGGACCCGCCCCTCTCATTGCGCGCAGGTCAGAGGGCCGGCGATGGGTCATCGAAACAAAGGTTCACACACCGCCTGCAAGAAGAGCCCCAAGCTATTTATAAGCCACTTACCACAAAAGTAAACTTCTGACTCAGGAGCCAAGGAACCGGTTTATTATAGTGTAGGTGGTGTTGACTTGAGAAGAAGCATTTACGATATTGCCTCAGGATGCCAAACCGACAGGTCCTTTTTAATAAACATTATTTTAAACAAACTTTTCGAAACATCCACATGAAAGAACTTAAACAGCTGACAACTCCAGAAAGGTTAGATCAAACCGTTTCTTTTTTTATTTATAACTGGAAGCACAACACAGATTAGGACTTCGAAATGTGGATGTGGGTTAAGTCATGCCAGATATATAATCAGCAGTGAAATCCTTCTCAAGCGTCCATCTCAAACCCCATCACCCAGTTCTATCTTTACGAAACTCGCCATGCATGTGCCGTGTAAGGACTGGAAATTTCAACACCGACCACCATTTCTCATTGCCAAATATATCAAACCGCCCCTAATTGCACCAACAAGCCCAGAAACGATCATAGAACTTTAAAAAAAGATAACAAAACACATGCATATTTTTCCTACAGTGTCATAACCACTAATCTGCTACCTTAGTCAGCGGGTACATACTATCTCGATCTGCACATTGACTTTAATGTTTGCTTGCTGGCTTTTCATTAAATTTTTCAACTTGTGGCTACGCCAGGCTTGCAAGTAAGCTTGCACCTTAACCTTTGCTGCGAAACCACACATCCCATACGGAGTTTCAGTGTCGACACAAGTGATCAGCCGCATCCCTGCTAAAGGGCAGCTGAAGCCAGTGTGTAAATGCGCCCGGCCCCCCAAACGAAGTGGCATGGGTGATAACCAGCGCAGCCAGCGAAGGCGACTAGCTTAGCTAAGCTAATACAAACCACAGAAAATCATACGTAGGTACCCGTCGTAAACAGCGGTGATAAAAACGGGAGTGACGAATCAAACACGGTGCGCTCACGACCACTTATGATAAAAAATATACTCGCAATTTTACAAATACCTAGATAAAAATACACCAAAACAACAACAGCACAGAGTAGCATCCTACCTTCGCATTCTGCAGGAAACGCTCGTGCTCTGACAACGCATGCGCAGGCTTCGGTCCGTACGGCAGTTTGACGCACGTACGGACGATAGGCGCACAGTCGTACCGCACATGCGCAGTTTAAATTTACATGTAAAAATATTAATTTAAATATTTAAACATACATTTAAAATGGGTTCAATTTACATATACTGTGAATTTCTTAATACCTCATTCAAGGCAGGTTTCACAGGCAGGCGTGGCTTGTGAATGGTCTATAATGTCTGGAATGCCATGGCGTTTTGTAGTGTTAGGATGATTGAATTAAATTGGAATTAATTTTTTTCCAAGTAGGCAGCGCACAGACTTAAGAACAGCTTCTCGCACTAACATATACTAACTGCTATATATGTATGATGTTGATTACTTTTGATAAAAGTAATCAATGTGGTAGAATCATCCTTTTAATCTAATGATAAATGCACTGTATACCGGTATATGAATGGTATGACAGTAACTCCCATTTGACTTGACAACTTTATAAATCAGGACAATTGATATAACAATGTTACTCTAAGACTTGTGTTACAATGTTGGTCACACTAACGGTTAAAATGAAATTCATTAAAATGCCTATGGTTTGGGGATTTTCTTATGTTTTACAAAATAGCTTTACATTTGTTTTAGTATGTACACGTGAGTTACAGTTGTTTACAATAGTCTCATTCATAAAGGCATATGAATCTAATTTTCTGGTCATCTGATGGATGGGGTGGGGGGTGATCACAAAAACAGGTGCGGGGCCGGAGTTTTGCTGAGCGCCGGCCGAGACCGACCACCCAGACACGCCCCCCCCCTCCACCTCCTCCTCCTCCTCTTCCCTCCCTCTTTTCCTCTCTTCTCCTCCTCTTCATCCTCCCTCAGGTTCAGCGCCGTGACGTTGTCTTTCCTCATCGACGCAGTTCAGTTGCTTCTCATCGCGTACCGCCGAGGAGGAAGCAACAACAGCACAAAAAAAATAAATAAATAAACGAAACCAAACTGGACATGGCGATGATCGGTGCCCCGGACCCCGCAGCGAGGAGCGGAAGCACCGCGGACGGCGAAGGGGACAGCTCAGACTTCACCTGCCCGGTCTGTCTGGAGATATTTGATCGTCCCGTCACCACACAATGCGGCCATACGTGAGTACGGAAACGGGACAATTTCCCTCTGTTAAATCACACGAACGCACGTCTATGCGAGAACCGCAGGCAAGAGGAAGGTATAGCTCAGCTGTGTTTACACAGGCAGGTAGTTAGCTAAATTATTGCCAATGAACAGGCCGGACAATATGTCATCGTGTTTATCTTGTATTTATACACTAACCAACATAGGGCATTAGATGTGCAGGTGTACAAAGATCGTTTTTATGTATAAAATGTACAACCCAGCTTACTTTCAGTTTTGTTTACGTCTAGCTACAGCCGAAATGGAATAATGGGAATTGTAGTTCTTAAAATGCAGTTTGCAATAGTGTGATGATTACGTTGGACTACAAATTCCACAATGCCCCGGTAGGGAAAGGGAACAGAAATCTTTATCGCAACTAAAGCTTGATCCAATTGTGTTGAAATAGTAGTTTTGCCACTTTATTAGTATGTGACAAGCATTTCCGAGTTTTTTTCCGGAAGCCCCGCATGGGAACAGCAAGGAATATTTGGGAAATGTATCATTCCTTGGGAACGATCACACCCGACCTAGTCATTAAGAGACTTGATCGTTTAGTTTTGACAGAATTTATAACCTCACATTTAGTATTAAAGATCAGAGTCGTATATATGCCTTTGCTTCTACAAGATACGTAGATAATTCTAACGTAAACCAAGGAGAGGATTCCATTTATCAGAAGAAAGGGGAATCCGAACACAGTTGCATTTTTCAGGAAATGTTACATCCGTGAACAGGTTGCCACGTACCTTTGGCCTTACTGTGAATTAATACTCGCTCAAGGCGTAGTTTAAGCAGGCGTGAAAGAGTGTGCCCTGTTTTTTTCTTGGAAATGTATTGTAAAACACTCACACACTCATTTAAATCAATACGAATAAGAAGTCGGAGCGTAAAAGGTCTGCAAAGCAGTTCCTGTGACGTTTTTTAAATGTACAAGTAAGCTGTGCGAATTTTCACACATTTAATAAATATGCAATTCGAGAGACTGAAATCAAGCGATCCTGTAGATATTTTGAGTAAAAGGTGGAAATGCTGTTAAGCTGTCTGTGTTTATTAGAATGGTTAAAACGTTAAGGAGTGATCTGCTTCTCGCTGTGGGGTCCGGGGCACCGATCATGGCCATGTCCAGTTTGGTTACGAGGACATCGTTATTCCGTTCCAGAACAAATCTTGTCAACGCAGCAAAATAAGTTAGCAGTAATTTATGTGTCGGACGTTGATTGGGGGATTAACACAAAAGTAAACATCATGAGAGGAAGGGTCTTTGAGTAGTACTAGTGATGGACGAAATAACGCTTCATGAGCCATTTGCTGTATTTTTGACCCCACTAGATGGCGCTCTCTTTTCAAAAAAGGGCTCAAAGCATGCTCCAACACAAACCAGAAGCGCCATCTAGTGATGTCAAAAATGACAGCAAATGGTTCATGAGGCATCATTTTGTCCACCACTAGGTAGTACTGTTGCCTCACACTTTCATGGTTCAAATCTGACCCTTTTTGTGTATGGAGTTTGCATGTTCTCCTCACATTGTGTAGATTCCTTTCAGATACTCTGGCCTTCTCCCATAGGCCAAAGACATGTAGTTTGGCTAATTGGTGTTTCTAAATTGTCCATCAGGGGTGAGGGTATAAATGAGTGCTTGTGTATCCAGCGTGTACCTCAACCTTGTGCCCTTCACTGCCTGGGAAAAGCTCTAGGTCTCCCAGTGACCCTGACCAATGGTTATAAGGTTGGTTGGATTGATAATATGAGTAAATTTGACAGGAAAGGAATGTCTGTTATTGGCACAAGAAGATACCACAGTTGGATTTTTTTCAAAGCCCTGGAGGGATGATAGATTTACAGTGTTTGGGCTTTGCATTGTTTTGTAAAAATGCATAAAAAAGAATTTTACAAATCCATTAACATACAGTGCTAGCTCAGAACTCCAACTTAATCCGTTCAGAACTTCAGATCGAATCCTAAAAAGTTAGAGTTCTGATCGAATTTTCCCCATAAGAAATAATGGAAAACCAATTAATTGGTTCCCTGCTCCAAAAAATTACACCTACCTGTAAATATGTTTTTTTTAGCATTTAAATACAAAATGAACAAGATAAAACAAGAAGAGCATATACTGTACTAAACACATCTAAGCACATTTATCAAAACAATAATTTGCAAAGTAAAAAAATAAATGTATCCAAACAATGTGTTAAAAAAAAAAAACATGTCCTGCCCCGATCGTCTGCTCCTTCCGTGTGCCACGCCCCCTCGTTAACCCCATGTGGAATCCCTGTGTGATCAGCTGTTTCTGGTTGTTGTCATTAGCCCTCTGTATTTCGTCCGCTTTTCAGTTTGTTTCCCCAGTCCGGTCATTGTATTGTCCATCTGCGTTTTGCCTGCCTTACCTGTAATTAAACCCCGTAGCCTATTCCCCAATACCCTGACCTCTGCGCCTTTGTCTCCATTCCGTCCCCACTCGGCAATATTATTATAATTAAATGTATTAATGGTTTATTATTAATATTAAAATAATGAATAAGAAATCTTTATTTTAAAATGTATTTTATTATATAATAATAATTACTGTTACTGTCTATCATTGTCTAAATGTATTTTTACCGTCTAAATATATATATTCAGCTAGTGTAAACATGCACGATGCTATCACAGCGAATGCGAGGCTGAGACTGAAGCGTTACCCTTTGTTTCCGCTGAGAGACGTGCCGCGTGACTCATTTCCCCGCTCGTACAAGTTATCTTAGGTCGGTGTTCACGGTTTGACTTCTGAGATTCAGATCGAGCTCTAGGTAATTTTTTTTTCGAACTGGTTGGTTCGACTTTTAAGAAATTCGAGTTCTAATGAGTTCAAGAACTGAGGTACCACTGTATTATCTGAAAATGAGGAATCCATAATGGTTGCTCATTTGCACAACAGTAATTTTGCACTGTATTTTCCATAGTAGCACATTATTTTGGACGGTTCTCTTATTTATTCTTTACATTTCTTTCTTTCATGTTTATTCTATAACTGATATCCTTTCATGAATTTGTAAATTTTTACTTATGTAAACCACCTTTTGTTGTAATTATTTCCTATCCTATGATGAATTCCCTCTCTGTGGTGTGGTACTGGACGAAGACATTTCAAAGAAGGCATGGACATGCAGGGGCAATGAAGTTGCATTTTATTGAATTCTTAAGTAAAACTATAATGAATCTTTTCTGTGTTGTGTCCATGCTCAGCAGCCTAAATTTACACATCTGTTCAAAAGAAAATGGCGGGTGTTGCATGTATCCAGGTCAGGGTTGCAGTTGGGGACCTGTGGCCTGTCCCAGGCTGCACAGAACACAGTAGCACTACCCACTGAGCCACTGTACTGCTTGGTCTTGTATCTATTTTAAATGTTCCTGTAAATGCATGTTTCGTCACGTAATCGTCTCACGTGATAATAGATGAGGTTATAAAATCTGTGCAGCCCCACACTGAGGGTTTAAAAGAGTGTGGGTGATGTTTACTTTTTGTACCTTGGAACATCCTGCATCTCCATGCCGCTCTCCATTCAGAACCACCTCTGCTATGCTTTCTGCAGGTTCTGTAACAGCTGCTTGCAGGAGTGCTTGCGGACCCACAAACCTATCTGTGCCGTGTGTCGGACCACACTGGACAAGTGGGTCAGAGCCACGGCCATAGAGACGCTCATCCAGAAGAACACGGGCCCATGCAAAGGCTGCCAGACACAGGTAAGCCTTCTGGACACGGCCTGTGCCCCTGCGTGTCCGTGGCCCACGGCCTGTGCCCCTGCGTGTCCGTGCCCCACGGCCTGTGCCCCTGCGTGTCCGTGCCCCACGGCCTCTGCCCCTGCGTGTCCGTGCCCCACGGCCTGTGCCCCTGCGTGTCCGTGCCCCACGGCCTGTGCCCCTTGCTAGTCCGTGCCCCACGGCCTGTGCGCCTGCGTGTCCGTGCCCCACGGCCTGTGCCCCTGCGTGTCCGTGCCCCACGGCCTCTGCCCCTGCGTGTCCTTGCCCCACGGCCTGTGCCCCTTGCTAGTCCGTGCCCCACGGCCTGTGCCCCTTGCTAGTCCGTGCCCCACGGCCTGTGCCCCTGCGTGTCCGTGCCCCACGGCCTCTGCCCCTGCGTGTCCGTGCCCCACGGCCTCTGCCCCTGCGTGTCCGTGCCCCACGGCCTGTGCCTTTGCGTGTGCGTAAATACCTCTGTGTGTTTGTTCTCTGCAATCAGACATGGATTATTTCCCCAGCCCAATTAAAGGTGGATTAACCCAAGTGGTCTAGTTTCTCTCACGTCGAAGAGGATTTAGGTAAAATACCATGTTAACAAGCAAACAGTTATGAAGCAGGATATTGCAAAGGAAATCTCAATGGCCTACTTTCCCAATGCCCTCCTGCTTCTCGTTGTTATTGTGGGTTTGTGTTTTTTTTTAGGAACCATCTTCACACTCTCCTCCCTCCTGTCCGCAGGTGCGCCTGTCCCAAATGCGGAGTCACACAGCCGTTTGCTCCAAATACCAGGAGTACATCGATGAGGGGGTTAGGAGCACCACGCAGTCCCAGCCTGCCGTCAGGTGGGGCGCTGGCAGGTGGCCTCTCTCTTGTCTCCAGCCATCAGCTGATCCTCCGGTGCCTAATCCTCCTCCAATCCTCCTCCCTCCTCCCCAACGCAGCTCAGTTCCAAACCGCTTCACGTTCTCCTGTCCGTACTGCAACTTCCAGAACCTGGACCAGGACGGCCTGGTGGAGCACTGCACGTCGCTGCACGCTAGGGATACGCGCCACGTGGTGAGGCGCCCCCTGTGGCGGGCCATGGGCAGCATAGCTGAGTGTGTGAACTGATGGTTGTAGGTTCAAGTCCCATTTCCAGCTATTTCACCCTTGAGAAAGAGAACCATTGTTTCAGTCGTGTCTTGCCGTTTCGTTGGTCTATCCTGTTGTATAAAAGGTTAGCGTCTGCTAGATGACACTTAGTCAATAGCATAGCCACTGAGCACCTAAGGGACAAATGAGGAGATTGACACTTAAGAAGAGTGTTTCGATTAGCATAGCATCATATACGCAAGAAGGGGGAGTCTGGTCATGACCCCGGGGGCGGCCATTAAGAGACACGCTCACCCAAAATGGCTGCTGTCTGGTTGTTATTGGTACTTAAAAAAAGACTTTAAAACGTCGCTCGGCAAAGCGTGGATTTGTGTGGTCTCTGCAGGTCAGTTGATTCACGGTACAGACAGTCCACAGCTACATAAGCCACCGGGCCTACTCCTAGCTGTTGGATGGTTCTCCGGGGGTGGGGGGGGGCAGTCCGCTGCACGGAGCCCGGGCCTCTTCGCTCTCGGTATATAAATGACGCCCGCTGCCATTTCCCCTTTAAGGTGTGCCCCATCTGTGCCTCGATGCCTTGGGGAGACCCCAACTACCGCAGCGCCGACTTCTTCCAGCACCTGAAGATCAGACACACCTTCTCTTACGACACATTTGTGGTGCGTATCTCAGAAGGCCTGTCCAGATGCTGTCTTTTAAATTCCTGAGCTGCTAATGCGGGAGTGTGCGGTGGAGTTCCAGTGCATGCTGGGCATCATCTGGGGGGAATTCATTGGATTCCAGAATAGATCTTATTTACCCTGTTCTTTTTTTCATTATTATTATTTAGAGTGGCTATTAAACCAGTATTTCAGATAACGCATAGAATGCACACAAACCTTTTTCTCTGCACCATATTTTTATAACCATACTTAACCTGCTATCATGTCTATTCCTGCCTGTTAGGACTATTCAGCTGACGAACACACCATGATCCAGGAGGCGCTGCAACGCTCCCTGATGGACAAATAATGCGACCGGCAGGGGTCGCTGCTGAGGCGCTGCTCGGCCGCGTCGTGGAAGCCTTATAGTTAATGGTGGCACCTCGGGCGCAAGCAGAGCGATCTGGAATGATCCCAGTAGCGGTACTTTTAATAATTCGTCCACAATCGGTAATACCTGTCATTTAATCTTCCGCCACTGTAATGGGGGTGAGGTGAATTTATGGAGTACTGAAATCAGAAGTGTTTGGTGTTATGAGTTGTGACATCTGATCTGTTAACCTTCTGCGTTTATCAATGTTTATAATTAAATTTCGAGAGATGTCTTCCTAAAATTAAGATGGGTGGTGAGTAGCTAAAAGGCAGCCTTTGAAGTTCATGAATAATGCTAATGTGCATCGGGGTTACTTCGTGCAACTGATTTAAAAATTTAGAGGAAAATTCACTTAGACTTCCATTGTAACCCCATATCTTGTAATATTTTCTTTCTTTAAGTTGTTTACATCAGCCTATGTCGGCATGTATTCGCATTCGAGAAGATGCGTCACTCCGGCGTACGTTGCTTTCGGTGATATTTGCTCTAAGCTTCACTAGTGCCCTCAAGGGAAGTTGTCAGTTGTTAATTCTGTAAGGTGTCACGCATCGGTGTACGTAAAACGAAGCATTGCCCTTTCTTCCTTCTTTTGTTATTTGTTATGGTTGGTTTTTAAAAAGCGTCATAAATAGTAGATCATCTGAAAAAAAGATAACCGAAGCAAGTACGGGAGAAAAAAAGTTGTGAATAAAATGTTAGTCTATAATATGACCAGAAGGGGGCAGTGTTTCCCTTTCTGTGTGAGCGCACGCCCCTTATCTCCGGCAGCACCGTTCCGTGCGCCTACATCAATACTGCTGCGTGATCACGTACATTAACTCCAAACGAAGCTCTTATATATGCAGAAAACACTAGCGACGCGAAGCCTTCAGTTATTTACTAATATACTTATTTGAATACTGCTCAAAATATTAAGCTCTGTTGTCACACTTAGGAAATCCTTCCTTAATCAGTTTTTCTTTCGGTTTGACACCACGGATATGTGCGATTTGATAACGTCTGTTTGTTGTTTTGCCGTTTTTTTTCTCTCACTTTGCTCATGACGGCGAATTCTTTAAAGCTAACATTTTAGGAAGCCTGACCTTGTGTTTATTGGAGTAAAGTGTCAACTACTGAACGAATATCCCACTTTTCAGGAGAAATATGGACTGCGCAGTTTAGTATCTTTTTTCGAAGGGGAGGGGGGTCTTCTTGTGATTCTCGGTAAATCTCCCCAAGATCTGGATGGTCAGGTGTCAAACGCGGTCATTTTGAGAGGAACATTGGTTACTTCTGATCATTTGTGACAATTCAAGAAATCCTTCCCCTTAATGCAAAAATCGTATTCCTGTGAAACTTAATTGTTCATGAAAGGAGCATTAGGATTTTTCCTGTTTAATTTATTTGTGTTTGTTTGTGTTGGTCAATATTTTGCCCAGAGCCATTTGCTGAAAGTTTTCGAAGATTTAAAATGTATCTTCATTTATAATGGAGCTGATGAGATGTTGGATCCTTTGGACGTGACCCTTTGCTTTTCACAAAATATATGAACTAAAACAGAATCTGGTTTTGTTCTTTTTACCTTTGGGAATAACCTTTTTAAGTTAACCCTTTGAAGTTAAAGTTAACCCTTTTAGGTTCAGTAATCTAGTTTTAATTTATGTACCTTTTGTGACTTTCTGCTCAAAATATTGAGGGAAAACTCTTCTTTGAGCCCCTGATAAATGTCTATCCCAGCCTCCATCCTCCTGTCCCCCCTTGGATAAATATGGCTTGTAACACTTTTTTATTTATTAATTTCTCTTGGCTCTTCACGAGTGCTGTTTATGCTGACCTTATATCCTGCTTTTAAAACGTGGTCTCAGCCGCTTTTAGCAACAAGAAGGTTTCCTCTCCTGGCTTTGCGTCTTTCTCCATCTGCTCCTCCTCCTCCTCCCTGCTCTTTCACACCCGACACCGCGAGCTTCGATGGGAAGGGCGGCTGATTCTGCATAACGGGCCGCATCTTCCCCCGAATCCCGATGTTCGGCCCGAATCCCAGCTCCCGTTCCGCAGCTGAGTGAGTCTGCAGGAAGTTCCGTGTTCGGATATCCGTGTAAACACCGGCGAGCCCCTGCGAAAAACCTCCATCTTCCAGCAAACGGATCCACGGGACGCTGGAGCTGGGGGGTGGAACGGGGAAATTTTATTAACGCCTTTGGGATATTTTGGGCAGGTGAATTGAGCAACACGCAAACCATGATTTTACACTCTTGCGAGAGCATAAAGCCAAACGACCATCCACGGGCGCAGTCACTGCTCTTGGATTCTCCCTGATACACAGGACAGGCTTACTTTATACCCCCCCCCCCAACCTCATTACCTCTCCTACAACATCAATCCCTTCCACTTACCCCAAAACCCCAAAAAGATGCTTCAACTATGAAAGTTGGGGGGGGGGGTGCTTGGTTCATGTTGTGCTTTCACGAAAAAGGGGGCCTTCTGCTCTCAGAAAATGAGGTTATTAGTAAATGCCTACTTGTGTAAGTGTATGTAATTGTGTATATTTATAAACACACTATACGTAATGCCGGTGATATCATTGTGTGTGTGTGTGTGTGGGTGAGATGTATACTTGTTTGGAATATATTTTTCTAAATTATGGTGTAGCTAAATTGCGTACAACCACCATAAAATTGAAGGGGTATGTATGATTAATACTATGAAAAATACTTTTAAACCCTTTCTGTGTTGTATGCATTCTAATGAGGTATGCAGGATCTTTGTGGTGGCGTAATTGTCCGTCGAATAGATTACAACTGACTTTCTTAAGTTGTTTTTTTTAATTCTATTTTATTTTTGTGGTTAGGATGTCTAGAACTCGGTTATGCAGAGAATCTACTGGACTCGGTTCTTGATCCCGCAATCCTTTTTTCCTGATGCTGTTTTTTTCCCCTTTTTTTAAAACTTTGCTCCTGGCATCTGGAAAAGTTAGGTGAAACGAACTAACGAGACACTCAACCGCTTCTGGGCAGGAAGGAAGCGCTCCCGCAAAATAATAATAATAAAATATAAAAATAAATAAAAATTTAAAAAATACGGTTGCTTTTTTGTGATTTGGTGCCGGCAGTAGGGTAGCAAAAAAAATTGCAAAAGGAAGGGAAAGAGGAGGGAACGTGTTGAATAAAAATTTAATAAAGTTGGTTGCGTGGTTTTCTTTGATGAGAGAATTAGGAAGTATGTTGAGTCTTGGGGCTGTGTAGAGGCAGCAATTACTGCAACACGCCACCCCCGGCAGCTCCACCAGGAGAGCCGGCGAGGAGGAAGCGCGCCGGGGCATCGCGGTGCGCGAAAACACGGCGAGGGAAAGCGGGTTACGGAAGGCGGGCGTCCCTACAAAACGCTTTATGTGTGCAATTACAGAACATGAATTTTCATCCAGCTTTGGCGTGATGCGATAGTTTGAAACCCCGCTCCCGAAATAAACTCCAAACCGACACAAAAAACAAGTCAATATTCATGAGATAGGGTTGGATCTTTAAGGTGGTAAACTTCTGCCTTAAATTTTTGGCTTTGTAACTGAAGATAGATCCATCCGTCCGTGTTCTATGCGGTTATCTTGGTGAGGGTCAGTTGATAGTGTTTTAACAAAGTTATGAAGTCCACTGAAGCACGATGCGCAGTGTTGGTTAAAAACACTACAGTCGGACTTAAACAGGGGTTTCACCTGCATCTCGGCGGCTTCTAGTCTGGTTCCAGGTTCCTGCTCCTTGGTGCTGAGAAGCACACCTTTGGAGAAGCTGCGATCGCAGATTAACGGGGCATAACGCCTTTTTGCAGTAAAACACAATACCTGTGCATTAAAGAAATGCAACCCTGTATTGACTAAGTAATTTTGCACATATAAAGAGTTTAAGTAGTAGATGCTTATTTAAACACGTTTGAAGTAGTACGAAACTCAGTCACAAGTAATATGTACAGATGCAGATAGTATGACATTTAAATGTATAGTTGGATTTAGCAGCAGCATTAAGTAAAGAATAACCAACCTTTGTTATAAACTGCAAATGGAAATACATAGACATTTTTTATGGCGTAGCGGCTTGTGGAGATTAATTAATGTAATTAGATTATCTACACGTGTAAGAGTCACGGGGGCGTCCAGTTTACCACCGGCCGGGTAATTAAAAAAAGGTAATTACATACTGGAGAAGACGTGGGATTCCTAATGGGTTTGAAGGTGTGATGGAAGGAGGGTTTGCCGGAGGAGAGAAGAGGGTTGGGGTGCTAGCAGGGAGGACTGTCTGATCATCACTGACCACGACGGGAACGTCTTCAGGGGGCTGGAAAGCCACTCGGCTTTGGCTGCCCCGGAGGGAGTTCTCGTTTCTTCTACTCTCCTGTCTTTTCCTTTTTTGATTTATTTTACATGGTATGACGATAAGCACTCTAATATCTGTAGAAATAAACTGATGTGAAGCTACCGAAGGCTTCTTGAAAGGGTGGGATTCAGACATCGTTCTGATGCCCCTAAACCTCACACTGTCCTTTGAAGTTTGCTGTATGTGTGTGTATATATACATACATCTCTGTGCCGGGGAAGTTTGAAGCACTCCAAAGGCTGATATTTCTGCTGATGAAGGTTATTCTGCCTAGTGCCGGAACAGGGGTATCAACAGCTAAATGCAAATTCCTGAAAGTCAGGAGAGCCGGGATCCCTCAGAGCTATTGCAGAACTGCCGTCACGTGGGTCTTCTGTGGTTCCGAACGGGCGCTGCGAACACTCGATCTCACCGCTGTGAGCCTGATGTCATGGCGCCTACAGCCAGCATGGCTGCAAGTTGCAGCATCACCGCACAAAGCTAGGACATGCTAGCCTTGTGCTAGATTTGCGTCAGTGCGTGTTAGCCCAGCGCTAACTGATGCTAAGATGTGTTAGCACGCGCTAATGGGATCCAAGTTCAGGTGCCGTGTCCCTGCCTTGGACCTCTCACTCAGATGGCTGTTGTTCAACCTTCAAGCATGCAGCCCTACGCTGGGAGTTAATTTTTGACTTTTATGAGGAAAAGCAGCGCTTCGCTAAAGACGCTATTAGCATCGCAAAACTTCAGGCTCGACAGACGGCGTCATGGCATGTTCCTCGAGGACACTTCATCCCTGCGGTCCCTTTCAGCTACATCGGGGTGGGGCTGGCAGCCTGGGTCTTGGCACGGAGGACCGACTCGTTGATTATAATTGCAGCCTTGACCGTGCTGTCATAGTCCGTCTCCACAGACAAAGACTGCTGGTGACATGTCGGTTTCTGAGGCAGGAGGATCCGACGCCAGGAAGCGAGTTTGCCGAAACGGAAAAGGGTTGGGGGGAGGGGGGAGGGGGGAGCAAGCTTCTCGAAAAGACACTTTAAAGGCATCCCTGACCTCTATTGTTCTGCTGAATTGTAAACTGTTCCAACAAACTCGGACCCATCAAGGTCAGTCGGACCGAACCGGACTGACCTTGCCCCCTAGCAGCCCCCCCTAACATCCACTGTGTCTCGTGTTTTTGCGGTTTTTTTTCTAGATTACAACCTGAAACGATGGGCTTATCTGCATTTCGGGGGGTGGGGTGTTTAAAGCCACATCTATCTGTTCGTCCCACACAACACGAGAGAAGGCCTAACACTATTTTAGTGCACTATAAACATAATTGATCAAAAGATAACAGAAAACGTAGCATGTATTTATCTGGTCCAATGTGGAACATTCCAGAAGGTCTAGAGAAAATGGAAGTTGCTTTAAAACCTTGGAAAGCTCAAAAAACTACACACTTTCCTCTAGAAATAAAACAAGCATTTGGGGGCGGGGGCAAGAAGTGGCTCTGGGGATTGCTAATAATGATTTTATTTATTTATTTGAAATCCCACCCCCCCCCCTTTTTACTAATATTTGAAAGTTTAGCCATGTGAAGTGGGTTTGCAGAAGTGAGCGAGGTTTCCCCAGAGTGCCACACTG